CTTCCCAGGTTTTCAGGACAAAACAGTCCTCTGTATAGCCTGGGCTAGAGCACCAGCTCCTACCTCCCCTTGTGCCCTCTTAATTGCTTCAGCTGTAGGTTTCGGTATCTGTCTTGAAATGCTGAGGTCCTATTTACAACTTGTACCACTGGCAGAATTTACCAGGAACGTTCACAAGGGGATGATCAAGGATTCGCTTTGGTTTCTGTGTTCCAAGGCTTCTCTCCCCTTCTAAAATAAACTTCCCATCCTCTCCCAGAGTAAAGCTGCTAGTTCTGCTAACTGGGTCACTTGCCAGAGAGCCAAGAGTCTGTCTTTTTTCTGCTGGTCTGTCTAGGGCCAAGCCCCAGTGAGCTGCGCTCTGAAGACTTGCCAGGCTTTCTATTAATGCCAGTTCCTGCAAACGGCCTGTACCCTGCCCTACTGCCCTCAGCCAGCTCCTCCACCTTGGGAGGCACCTACCAGAGTGTCTCCAGAAAGTCAAAGGCCACCCTAACCTGAGGTCATTAACCTAGGACCTTGAACAAAGTTTAAGGTCCAAGTTCACAACTGCCACTGCTCTGCTGAGGAGGTAATGAGAAGACCCCGTCTAATGAGCTCCCTCAGTGAAGTAGCTCGAGCCCCTTGCAGGTTCCCTGGGAAATTGGATCAACTGCCCACCTCCCAAAACAACCGTGTTAGCAGTGTGGATGCAGCTTGTTTTTAAATATCTATATGAGTAGCCAATTAATTGATGTGACTGGCCCAAAGGAAGAAATTAAAGGAGAATTACTCAAGAGGCAGGAGGCGAGTAAGATCTCTTTGGGAAATGGGGCCTGGCGAGGACTCAGACAAAATTGTGCTGATAATTCATTCATTTAACAGATACATCGATATTATAGTACATACATAGAAATGTAAGCAAATGAGTGCATTTAACAAATGTACAGGAGTATAACATACATGGAGAAGTATACAAATCAGTGTTCACGACTTGAGGAACATTCATAAACCAGAACCCAGGTCAGAAAATAGACCTTTGTCAGTTCCTTAGAAGCCCTGGGCCTCCACATTTTGCCTGTTTTGGAACCTTTTGTTGTTGTTGTTGTTGTTGTTGTTGTTGGTACTGGGGATCAAACTTGCCTGTTCTGGAACTTCTAAAAAATGGAATCATGCAGTAGCCAGTGTTTGGGTCTGGCTGCTCTTGCTTAGCATCATGTTTGTGAGACTTATTCACACCCTTGAGTACAGCGGTAGTTAGTGGGTTCTTATCAATGTATGGTGCTTCATTTTGTGAACATATTAGTATTTATTTATGGATTCCAGTTCCGACAACTATTCAGAAAGTTTCCAACTTAAGGATATTTCACACAGTGCTGTTATGAGCATTCCTGTGCATCTTTTGATGAATATAGATACACATTTCTGTTAGAGATACACTTAGGAGGGAAATGGCCAGATTGTAAGTAATGCAACTACTCAACCTTAGTACATATTGCCAACCCACTTTCCAAAGTGTTCACCCCAACATCGGTACAGCCTAATTGTGCAATACAGGGGCCTGGTTCTGAGAACACGTCTTGATCAGTTATGTGAGCTCAGATGAGTACCTAGCCTCCGAGAACCTCGATTTCTGCATTCAAATGATAAACATGTTGATTCAATACACTGACTTCATAGGATGATATGAAAACTGGGGTGGGTATTTAATTTAGCACTGTGTCTGGCATATAATAGGCCTTCCTTAAGCATAATAGTTATTATAAGTTATCAACTATTAGCTGCTCCCTGGGCTTCGTCCCCTAAGAAGGGAGGACCTGTGTGTGCCAGGAAGACAGGGATAAAGAACAAACACACTGATTGATCCCTTTGAGCAGCAATGCTGGGCGATATTGAAAAAGGTGGAGTTTGGCTGCCCTGAGCAGGCCTTTTCCGTGTGCAGACACACACAGGAAGTTCTCATCAGAACTGAGCACCACAGAGCTGGGAGTAGCAGGCGGTAGTCCTTGTGCGAGGCGCCTTCCGGCTCGGCTACCCCTGCCTGCCTTCGAGCCTGCAGAAGTTAGGGGAATCTCAAGTCGGTTTGTCCCATCCTTTGCCCCCGGTTCCTCCTTTTCCATGGCTTCCTGCTCTGGGCACTTAAAGCTAATACCTTTGGGCGGGCTCCACCTCGGAATTCAAACAGCTGTCAAGTGAAATAATGCGCCAGGTCCTAAACCTTCTTCCCAGCCAATCGGAAATCAGCATCTCTCTACTGCAAAGAGCCCACCGCTGATAAAACCACCTCTGTATTCAAATATATGTCTGGATAAGCCATATGTACGTGTATATATTTGTCTACAATATCGTATATAATGTTAATTTTGTTAGTAATTACTTCCTTTGGGTTGCTCCGGAAAATCAGGTGCGCTTCCTGCCCAGGTTGCACCTGGAAGGATGACACGTCCGCTTGCAATTGCTGCACACCAGTATTGGATCAGATTGCTAATTAAGTGACATTTCTAGGATTGTCGATAGTATTTATACCGCAAGTGTGCACACACGATATGCATGCATATGTTTGTGATTATACATGCATCCGGGGCAGAGAGGACAGTGCTCTGAACTTGCACCGGTAGACTGCAGATCTGCTCTTGGGGAGACTCACTGGGCCTAGGTTTCCCTGCACTCCTGGGCTTCCGACACAGCGACCGTGCTCTGCTGTGATCGCGGAGGGCGTGGGAAGGGTCCTGGAAATCACGATAGGTTTGTATCGCACACGCCCCCGCCGGGCCCTTGGCTAACAGGCGCCTCTCTGCGCGGGGTGAAGCCTAGGCTGCGGGTGCAGCGAGACCTGCAGCCCAGCCCGAAGGGGAGGCGCGCTGCAGAGCAGACTCCGCGTGCGCCGGGCCCGGCGCTCGGCCAGGGGCTGAGGGCAGATGCAGCGGGTTGGGCCCGTCTATCCTGCTGGGCCGGGCCTGTGACTGTGCGCCCCAGCCCGGATCTCTCGGGGTGTCGGGCCTCTCGGGCCAAGGGCAGCCGCGCTGTTGACTCTGACAGCCCCAATCCCGAGGACGCTGTTTAGGGGAGCCCGTGGCCCTCCGCCTGGGAGCAGCCGGCGGCAAGGTTGTTCCCGCGCTGCGGTGAAATGCTCCCTGGGGTGCTGAAGAGGGTCGCACAAGAATTTCTCTTGAGAAGTCAGTCTATTTTCAGCAGTGGCTAAGCGCGGCACCAAGTACTGTAAATCGGATTTTAAGTGTTCCCTTTAAAGGAAGGCAGGCAGGCAATGGAGGGGGCTGGAGAGGAGCGAACACCCCTTAAACCCGGAGTTTGTCTGGTTTGGAGTTGACTCCCACCCACCACCCCAGACAAGGCCTGCGGGCATGAAGGACGTCAAGGCGCCCCCCCCCCGCCGCCGCCGCGACTGTCAAACCGGGCAACCCTGAGCCTGCGGTCTCCCCCTGAGCCGGCCCACTCCCTGCGGAGGTGGCAGAAGGGGTCAGATTATGTATTTAAATCAAATAAGAAAATAATGATGTTTGAAGACGTACTCACAGGACTGAGGCACCCGCGCTCAGGGCTGAGCCGCAGCGCCTTTGGAGCGGAAATGCTCGCCTGGCCTCCCTTGGTGCGAGGCGTGGGGCAAACGTGTGAGCTTCTGCCCAAGAAAGGGAATTTGCTCTGAGACTGCCTCACTGCAGCAAGGCGTCGGCTAAGTAGTTTGTCCCGAAGTGTGGGCGATGACTGGCATTTTTTTAAAAGTGTTTTTAAAACAAAAGTCACCTTTACAGTGCTTCGGGTTAGTGACCATGAAATGGCCAGAGGGAAGGGGTGGGAGCTGAGGCTGCGCTCTAGCCCGGCCAGTCTCACTTAAAACGCTTCCTACCAGGGAGCTCCTGTGAAATCCACAGACAGCCGCCAGCTGTGCCTAAAGCCACGATTTCAGTTACAACCCTGAGCCTTGGGGTGGTGCCCAGGCCTCAGGCTCGGTGCGCAGGGCGCTTGGCCGGGGTGCGAAGTCGCAGGGCCGCGCCAGCCCCGCCGAGCCGCAGAGGTGACCGGCCCCGCAACCCACTGGCAGCGTGGGGAGCCAGGCCGCCGAGGGGCTCCCGCCGGTTGTTGCGGCCCCAGCGAAGGCCGGATGGCAGCGAGGAAAAGCGCCCGGCCTTTGGCTGGGGCCTTCCGAGCGAGAGGCCCGGGGCTGCGGAGGGACGCTTCCAGGGCGGGTGCAGGGCCCTCGGCGGGCGCCCGGGGCTGCCAAACCCGCTGTAGAGCTGGGCCTGGGCGCCCCGGGAGTCCAGCTCCTCCGGGAAGCCGGCCTCGGGGGCGGTGCGGGCGCTGCGGCCTAGGAGGCCTCTCGGGCTGTGACCGCCGGCCGCTCGGGAAGGGAGGCTGCAGCTCCAGGAGGCCCCACGGCCCGGCCCACTTCTGCAGAAGGTCCCTGCTTTGAAGGACAGGGCTTCCTCAGAGCGGGAGGCTTCGGGGCACTCAGGCTCCGGATGAGAGGCCTGCTGAGCCCTGCAGGTCAAGTTGCTGGGCGTTTGCCCTCCACTGAGCGTGTGTGGGTAGAGAAAGTCGCCCCTGACCCGGCAGAACCCATTCACCAACTCCCTGAAATTGGGAGGTTTTCACTCCTGTAGACTTTTCCATGTAAAAACGGCATTTCAGCCTTTAAAATAGTGCTTCATAGGAGGATGAATTCGGAGAGTGGGGGCAGAGGGTAGGAATCACAGCACTCCCTCCACTGTTCGCCGCGGTTCCCAAGTCTTCCATTATTCTGCCTGAAATCATCTCGTTTACAGAAAATATTTGTTTGCACTATTAGTTGGTACTGGAGTTAATTACTCAATGTGTTAACGTGAAGTAATATGTATAAAAGTAGGATCAGTGTTTATTGTGTGGGTGAGCTGTTGAGCAGTGCTTGAATAAACTGCAATTAGGGTTAGATAGAGATTAATTAACATGTGAGTGGCAAGGTGTAAAATAGTTTCCAACCCTCCACTTCAATATAATCTGCGGGCGAGGGAAGAAGTTTGTGGAAGCTAATTAAATACTTTCATAAAAGCCTGTGTATTCACCCAACATTTGGAAGGAGAGGCACATTAGGGGCAACTTGTTTTTACCCAAATGTTTGCTTTCTGTGGAGGTAGCACTCCTTTGTGAGGCGGGAGAGAGCGATGGCTCCTGCAGCCACGCAAGCACTGGGGACGGCAAGGCAGGTTCACGGGAAGCCCTCAGAAGCCTTTCAGCCCGATGCAGCTTTCGAACCAGCCCATCTCTCAGCGGCTGCGGAGATCGACAATTATTACCCAATTTGGAAAACGGGTTGGGGTGCAGTGCTGGTGGCGGACAGGATCCACAGGGAAGTCGGGCTCTGAGAGGCTGCGGTGTGGATGAGTGTCGAGGTTGGGGTGAGTGGCTGGTCTCCTGTTTGGGCGGAGGCGGTTCATCGGCTCTGGGTCCACACTAACCTAGGGACGGGCTCACCGGTCCAGGATTCAGGCTCGACCCTGTCCTAAAGGACGTGGACTGTGGAATCGCTCTCCTCAGACTGGCAAGACTCTCTCTAGCTTAGAGATCTAGAAGTTGGGGCGGGGGTGTTGAGGAAGCAGATCTGGGACTGCTGAACTGGGAGGGCAGTTTCAGAGCTTGGCAGGGTGGGAGCATTAACCTTCGACAGCTCCCTGCAAGCCACTCTCCTCAGAGACCTCTCTGTTCTGCTCTCTTTGCTGCCCAAGTCCACCTTTCCTGTGCCTGTCCTGTCCCTGTGGTCTGAGGTGGCGTCTGGATGGGGTTGGGAAAGGGAGTGGTTGCCCATGGTTAAAACCAGAGCTTTCCTTGCGTGCCTCGTCCTCTGGTGGTTTTCTGGGGCTGTCCTGCAGCACGAAGCGTCCTGGGGTGGGACGGATACTCGGCCCTTCCAGACCTGTTCCGGAGCAAAGAAGAGGGTTTACCTCCACCCGCGCTATTTCTGGAATCCACGATCAAGCCTCAACCCTGTTTGCTCATATCATTCCCACCGTAATCCTCTTAAACTGTGGTTGCGGCGACAAAGCTTGTGGTCTTGCGAAAGCCGGCTGGCAAGATATAATTGTCCGGCGGACAAAACCTGCCCAAAGTTTCCCCAACCCCTGCACCCCCTTCCTTTCCTGACCCTAATTCTCTCGACCCTGCTCGCTGGCCCCTCCCCCAAAGAACCCCAGGTCTCCACCACTTTTGTTTGGCCCAGAGCGCCCGGCCTGCTGGCCTGCTGAAGTGCGCGAGTCTCTGAGCAGTGTGTTGTGGTACGCAGGTGGAGCGGTCTGCAAACACAAGGATTCAGCCCTCCAGACCGAGCGCGGAGCGCGCTGCTTTTGTGCGCCGGGCACAAAACACTGAATTCCTCCGAACTTACTGGGGCCTGTCTGGAAAGGGGCCCTTTCTTCCTCCGCCTGTACCTCTGGCCACACTGAGTCTCCGCCCGCCCCTTCAGGCCCCCTCCCTCTCCCCTCTGATAATCCTTCTCTTTATTTTAGAAAAACACAAAACCCGGTTCCACGCGGTGCTTTAGTGGCTAAAAGTGAAAGAGCTGCCTTGGCAGAATCAGCTCTATGAATCACTTCGGAAAATTGGTTCGACTGAATGGCCTTGGGAGGAAAACGTTTTAATAGGATCCAGGGGAGGCTCTGCCGCTTCAATCTGCTCCTTAAACAGGTGGGGACTGGACCTCCTCAATTACACCAACAGTAAGTACAGCCGGGCCGCCCCAGGCCCCAGGCCCCAGGCCCCAGGCCCCGCACACACGCACGCACGCACGCAGGCGCCTGGCCTCGACGCCGGCCGCGCTCGCTCCGCACTTGCCATCTATTAGGGCTTCGCGGTCCTCGGCCCTCGCAGGCTTCCCGGCTCGGGCGGGGACGCCTCGAGGTCGCGCTCGGGCGCGGGCCGTCCGACCCCGACGCCAGCCGAGGCGAGCTCGCCGCCTTGCATAAATTAGCATCGGCGGCCGCGCCGCGCTCGCGCCCGCGCCCTAATGAGGTAATTATCTGCGCGCGTTCGGGGCTGGCGCCGGGGTTTATAGCGCGCGGCCCGGCGCGGACGGCGGAGGGCGCTTCGCGTCCCGGACGGACGCGGGATCGGGCTCGGGCGGCCGCGTGGCCCGAGTTGCGAATCCCGCGCGGACTCCCGCCCCGCCCCGCCCCGCCCCCTCCCCCTCCGCGAGCCGCTCGCGCTTCCCAGGCCGGCGAGGAGCGGCGGGCGCCAGGCGCCTCCTTTTAAAGTTTGAGGGGCGGCGGCCGCGGGCGCGGGGAGCGAGGCCGCCGGGAGCCGAGTGCTCCGCTCCCAGTGACTCCGTGTGATGTCAGCGGGGTGTAAAAGACGACGCTCTCACGCGGAGGGGAGATGCGTGCCATGGAAATGTGACGGACGCTGCATGGCTCGGGACGCGGCTCCCCGGCGCGGGCGGACAGAGGTAACCGCGAGGGGGCTCCTGGCACAGCCGCGGCCTGGGTCCCGGGTCCCGGGCCGGCGCGGGTCCCTTCCCGCCGGGCTAAGGGGCGGCGCCCTGGTACCCCGGGCGCACTTTGTTCGGCCCGTGTCCATTTGAATCCAGATGGGGGACCCGGGCCGGCTGAGTGCCCACTAAAGCGCGGGCTTCCCCTGCCTTTTCCGGAACGCAGACCTAGAGACGACGGGCTGCGCCCCGCCCCGGCCCGGCCCGCCGGCCCCGCGCCATGGCCAGCTCGGCCTCCCTGGAGACCGTGGTGGCCCCGGCCTGCGCGCGCGCCGGGGCGTCGCCGGCCACCCCCAAGACGCTGGCCTTCTCCATCGAGCGCATCATGGCCAAGACGTCGGAGCCCCGCGCACCCTTTGAGCCCAGGCCTGGGGCACTGGAGGCGGACGGCAGCCAGAGCAAGAAACTGCTCAACCTGTGCTCGCCGCTCCCCTGCATGATCCCCCTGCAGCCCCTGGGCTACGAGGTGCCGTCCAAGACTCTTCTCAGCTACTCGGAGCTCTGGAAGAGCAGCCTCCGGGCGGGCGGCGGCAGCGGCGCCCCCGTGTGCGGCGCCAGCGGCTTGTGCAAAACCAACTGTGGCTTGTGCTGCAAGGCCGAGTTGGGCCTCGCTCCGTCCGCGCTGCCCGCGGGCAGGGTCATCAAGCCGCAGGTCATCAACCAGGCGATGGGGCTGCCGGCCAGCGGCCAGCTCTACTACTTCAACTACCTGGACTCCGCGGCCTACCCGCCCTCCGAGCTCCTGGGCAGTCACCTCTTCCCGTCCGGCCTCCTCAACGCGCAGGCCCCCACGGCCCTGGCCACGCACCCCAAGCTCTTCCTGCTGGACAACGCCAAGCTGGCCGGCCTGGCCGCGGACAAGTTCCCCCACCCGGCTCCCTATCCGCACAAGGAGCGCCTGCCCGCGCCGCTGGAGCAGGTGCTGAAGGAGAACTCCGGCCTGGCCGCTGAGCGCGGGGCCGCCAAGGGCCACAGCAAGCTGGCCGGGGGCTCTTCGGACGGCAAGCCCAAGAACTTCACCTGCGAGGTGTGCGGCAAGGTGAGGCCCAGGGTCCCCTTCCCGGGCGGAGGCGCTCTCCCAGTGAGCAGCTGGCCAGACCTCAGTTTCCTGGCCTGGGAAATGGGGCGCCGCCGAGGCGGGTCAGCCGCCCGGGCCAGAGCAGTCGGACTGCTCGCTGCGAAGCAGCGCTCTGGCCGGGAAGGGCTCGGTCCGCGGCGGCAGGCGGGGCCTCCGAGCAGCCCCAGGGTCTCGGAGGGCCGGACCGAGCCCCTCTTGTCTTTCTGCAGGTGTTTAACGCCCACTATAACCTCACCCGCCACATGCCGGTCCACACTGGAGCCAGACCCTTCGTGTGCAAGGTCTGCGGCAAAGGCTTCCGCCAGGCCAGCACGCTGTGCAGGCACAAAATCATCCACACCCAGGTATGGCCGGGGGTGAGGCCGTGCTAGGGCACGGGAGGGCCAGGGGTCCCTTCCCCTTCCCGGGGACGCTGCGATCTTCGAGGGGTGCCCGAAGTGCCCTCTCCGGCCAGCTCTCGGCCTCACTGTGCGCCCCTCTCCGCAGGAGAAGCCGCATAAGTGCAACCAGTGCGGCAAAGCTTTCAACCGCAGCTCCACGCTCAACACCCACATCCGCATCCACGCGGGCTACAAGCCCTTCGTCTGCGAATTTTGCGGCAAAGGCTTTCACCAGAAAGGTAACGTGCCCAGCGAGGCCTTCTGCTCCCCTCACCTCGGACTCGCGGGTCTTAGCTGGGGGCAGCAAGGAGGGGTCTGCAGGGTGGCACAAAAGCTCGCAGGCTTGCGCGCTGCGGTTCTTCGGAATCGGGTTGCGCCGGGTGTGCGGGAAGCTCCCAGGCTGGGTTAGATGCAGCCGGAGACCGGATTTGGGCGGTGTGACGAAAGGAAGGACAGAAGGGAAGGAAGTAGGAAGAGGAGGAAGGTTCTCTTTATCATCAGAACCCCTTCTTTCAAATGAAAAAGAATTCTAGGCACAACGTGCCTCCTGGGAAGAACGTAAAACTGGGGGAACGGTGCAGTCCTCCGTGCCCACAGCCTGCCCCTGGCTGGGGTTCTCCAGGGCTCTTTTGGATCTCCAGGGGGAAGGTGGGGGCCCGGGGTAACATCACAAATGAGAAGGGGAAAAGGGAGGCGTGGGCTTGGGTTCGTGCGAATTTCTTCGAGCGGGGCGTAGCTAGGGGAAGGCCCCGGTGCGCTGCACAGAAGTTCCGGGCTGGTGGACGGCGGGAGGGGCGTCCCGCTCCTGATCGGCCGGGCTGGGTGCGCTTGGGCTCCGAGGCCGCCCTGGGCCTCTCGGGAGCGCCTGGACCTGACGCAAACGAAGTTTGACAACTTCTTTCCTCGGAGAGGTCGCGCCCGCCTAACCAAGCGTGGCCTTCTTTGCTCAGGCACCTGAGCTGCCCCGGTACGCCGCGGCCCCTTCATTCCCCTCCATAGCCCTGCGGTTTTATTTTGTCTCTGGTCTCCTGTAGGGAACTACAAGAACCACAAGCTGACCCACAGCGGCGAGAAGCAGTACAAATGCACCATCTGCAACAAGGCCTTCCACCAGGTCTACAACCTGACCTTCCACATGCACACTCACAACGACAAGAAGCCTTTCACGTGCGCCACTTGCGGCAAAGGCTTTTGCAGAAACTTTGACTTAAAGAAACACGTGCGAAAGCTGCACGACAGCGTGGGCCCCACCGCCGCCTCTGCCAAGGACCTGAGCAGGGCTTCGCAGAGCTGAGAGCTGCTGCCTTGCCCTCCTGCCCTCCGCCGCCCCAGCAGACCTCACGTATAAACATTTCTAAAATTAAAAGGAGAAAAAACTATAGCAGAGAGGCTAAAATCTATTTATCAAAACCAGCCTATTTTTGGAAAGTTAAACGTTTCCTCGATGACTGGCAACACATGCGTGGCTCCCACCTTTGTATATTCGGGAAATTTATTTAAGTTCAGTGCGTCGAATCGTATTTAATTCCAGGCCTCGGCTTCTCGAGCAGCCGGTTTCTGACCCCAACCTGTCAGCGCGAGAGCCCCAGAAGGGCCACCTCTGCACCGCCCTGTACCTCTTCACAGGCCGACCCGGAATACACACACGTGACTCAATAAACAGAATCCCTGGTGCGCGTGTTCTTCCCCCACCCCTGCGCCTCGCCTTTCCCTTCCCAGTCCGGCTTCTTGGGGAGCAGGGGCCAGCTGGGAGGGCAGCGAGGCCGCCCCGTCCTCCGCGGGGTGCCAGAATTTCATTCGGCGAGGGTTCAGACGCTTGGGACTCGGGGGTTACCTTCCTTGCGCGAGAAAGTATCTTGAAGGGTGGACAGTGGCCGCGTGCTGGGGTGGGCCAGGGCCTCCCTCCCCCCCTCCCCCGGGCGATGTCTGGGGAGCGCAGCCTCCTGCCCGCCTCCGATCTTTCCGGTCTCCCGCAGTCAGCCTGTCTCCCGAATAGCGGTCTCCGCCGCCGAGCACGCTGACGAAATGATCTCAGCTTGCTTTCCAAGTAATGACCCAAATTAAGAGAGAGAACAGACCCTCAAACAGCATTACATTAATCATCTAATCATTCCCAGGAGGGGGCCGCCGCCGCCGCCCCGTTTGATCCGAATCTGGACCCTCAGGAGCTGGGTTACGGGCGGGGGCGGCGAGCCAGGCGCCCCGGCACTGTGTCCGCGCGGGGCCGCCACCGACCCCGGCGTGGGCGCGCAGGGTCCGGGCTTCGCTATCTGGGCGGCGGGGAAGCGGGTTCGTCCCACGCGCGGGGAGGCCGCGCCAGGCCCGAGCGCGCTTGGCTCGTAGCTGGCGGCGCGGGGCCCGCGTTAGGCGGGGGAAACAGAGGCAGAGGCCGGCGGGGGGGGGGGCAGCAGGCCGCGCGGGAGCGGGATTCGAACTCGGGGACAGGGCCCGGCGGCGCCAGGGCTCCAGCGGTGCGGGCGGAGTCTCGGCCCGGTCAGGCCCCTGTCCGCCCCGGTCCGGCCCCGGTCCGGCCCCGGTCCGGCCCCGGCCCGGCTCGCAGACCCGCGGCGCGGGAAGGAGGATCGTCGGTTTTGTTTGCACGGAGGACGGCGACAGCTTCCTCAGGCTGTGGCGGGTATTTTTAGGACCTCCGATTCAGAAATAGGAACGCGTGCATCAGAATTCCGTTTCCTGAAAGGAGCCGTCCTGGTTTCTGTCCCGTCCTCCTCCTCCTTCCCTCCCTCCCTCCCCCGAGTCTGGGAAGGCGCAGCCGGGGGAGGGACGAGGAAGCGAGGGGGGATTTAAATGTTACCTCGTTCTGGCTGCAGCTCGCTGTGGGGAGACGGGGACCCAGAGCAACGCGCAGCTTTAACTCGGAAATCGCCCTGCGCACCACACACCCGGGCACCCCGGGCCCGAGAGGAGCTTGGAGCCCAGGCGTGGGCGCCTCGCTCCTCCCTGACGGCCGAACTCCTGAGGCCGAGTCAGGCTGGGGTGGGCGCGGCCTTCTCGCGCGGCGGCCCTTGCGCTCGGAACCTCTTGGCCGCCCCGTGTGAAGCTGTCTCCTCCACGACCTTCTCCCTTCTCCCCAGTGGGTCCCTTTCGGGGCGCCTCGGGGTCAGGGAGTGAACTGCAAGCTGGCCTTCTAGACAGTTCCAGAACTTCCGGCAAGGCAGACATCACAAACCTAGCCCTGGCATCCACTTAGAGAAGCAGGAAAGGGAAAGTTGGCTCGCTTATGGAAATCACGGTTAAATTCTTCTCTTAAAGAATAAGCCGGGTGGCGCACGCCTGTGACCCTACCACTCCAGAGGCTGAGGCAGGAGGATCGACGTGAGTTACAAGCCAGCCCGGGCTACATAGCGAGACCCTGCCTCCAAAAACCACAAAATCAACAAAAATAAAAAATAAAAAGAAAGAAAAGAAAGGAAGGCACAGCACACAAGGAGATACCTTCCCAACCATCATCAGGCAGGAGAATTTTCTTTGAGGAAGTCTGCTGAAGCAAGTGTCACAGAAGAGAGGTTAAAGGTTCATGCATCCCCTTAAGTGGAGAAATTTGTTTCCAGGCTGACAGTGCTGAAGGGGAGTGGGACCTGTTTCCTTGCAGACTGGGGGTCAGATACAGTAAAGTTCACAGGTAGAGCAGGAGGCATTTCTTTCCGATTGCTCATCTCTGCGGTCAGGAAGAGGCCCGCGGCCCTGGGTCACCTGCTCGGAGCTCCCAGCACACTCTACCTGCTTGGGGTTGTTTGCTCAAAACTTGATTGCTATTAACCTTCACACTAGCTTCAATCGATCTCACCTGAGAAGGTGTTATTTCACGTCTGCTGGTAATTGTAGGTAAACAGTTCTGCATCTATTAGGGTTAGCTCCGCTTTCCTTTGGCTGGAAGTCACTCCTGGGTATAAGATGTCAGTTTCTTTCACCTGAAAAGTCATGCCAGGAGAAAAAGGACCTTCTGCCTGAGTTAGTGAACACCTTGCATAGCCAGCGCATGCTCTGCAGCCAATGCAAGTCCTTTCAGTAATGGTCTCATTGGAATCCTTCTCAGTTACCATGCATAGGAATTGATGAGTGAAAGGCTCTGTTTTCCGATTTTTTCCCCTGCTTAATACTAAACTGTTTGCATGACTCGTGGTTTACGATATTAATAAATGACTTAAACAAGGTAGTCATCAGCTGCATATTAATATTCTAACCTTGATTAAATCGAAGGGGCCACCCTGAAAATTTTTTTAAAAATCAAATTGCGGGGGAGGGGAATCCTGTCACAGACACAAAAAAAGACTCCAATTATCTTTTCCCCTACAAGATGTTTGTTCTGTCCATGACTGCTCACACTTCAGCAATCTTGCCAGCAAGACTCAAAAAAAAAAAAAAAAGCCTTCTTCCAAAGCCACAGCCTTGTACATAACAGATTGTACAGTCCTGTTGCCTTAGGCGGGTTAGAGGTTCCTCTGTAAAGAGCGACGCCGAGAAGTTGCCAGATCCAGACACGTTTTGGGGGTACGGAGCTGGCTCTTGCCTTGGCTGCAGAAGTGGGTCTCCAGGGGCCCCGTGTTGCTGTATGGCCCAGGAGCAGGTAGAGGGCTCCCAGAGCCACGCCAGGAGTAGCCACACCAGGTGCCCAGGTGCCCAGGTGGTAAGTGGGCTGGGGGAGAAATGGAAGGGACTGAAGAGGGAGAACGGCGGCTGCCAGAGATAGGACCAGAGTCTCGAGAAACGCTGGGAAATAAACAACCTCCAGGCAGCTGCGTTGCCCTTTTCCCTGCACTTCCCTCTCAAACGTCTGAGCAACCAGTTTGCTCCTAGAAACATGTTAATTGCCAACGGAGCTCATTAAGGCATGCACATGCAAAACACAGCAAGAAAGATTAAATGGACAAAAGCGCAATAATGAACTGTCAACAATCGGGCCCATCTACGCGACCAGGATCACTCGAGAATGAGGCATTTAGAGGCAACAAAGGATTGTCTGGGACAGGAAGAAAAGACGACCTAGACTTTTGTTTAGTCAACACAATTGATTACAAATGAGAGATTAACAGGATAGCTTCAGATTTTTTAAAAAAGAGGCAGAAAAGAAAAGTCCAATTAAGTCCACCGAATGTTAACTACATTGCGTTCCATGCCTAGCCCCAAAGAAATTCTCATTAAACCATCCCTGGCGATCCCTTTTGGAAAGTAATTTGTCTCCCTGATGGAGCAGAGAAAGAGAATCGTGTAAAAGAAAGCGTTAGTTCTTGGCACAATGAGCTTAGGAGACACACTGGAAAGAGCCAAAGGGGGAGTTAATGAGCATCTGACAAACTGCTTGGATTCAGGCCTAGAGAACAGCGATGAAAAGATGAAATTGGCCAACAACTATTCTTTATATCAAACATAAAAAGGCCAATCTGAAATGGGGCTGCTCAAAACTGGTTGAAAGTACATAGCTGGAGAAAGGGGAACCGTGGCCAGGCCCCTTGGTGGACAGTGGACGGACAGTGTGAAGAACTCAGCAGGCCAAGAGTTAGGAAATAAGGTGGAAAGTGGGCTGCCTTGTGCGAAACAAACTTCCGCCACTCCGCTCAGCTCGCTCCTCTTGCTCGGGCTCTGGAGGGACGGACCTGAAACTCTTCCTGCCCCTCCACCCCCCATGTTTCTTTAGTGAGTGAAAAATGTTACCAGGCTAGCATTTGAGAGTTCCCTAAAAGCTCTCCTAATCTGGTGATTAGCCCCTGGCATTCGCCAGCCCCTCTCTCCCTTCTAGACCCCTGGGCCCTTAGGGACACCATATGTTGCTAGCACACATTTGGGGGTTTTAGTCTCCTTTCTCCTAGTGACCATTCACAACTCTCCCGTCAGGTGAATGGCTTCCTCATTCAGCCTGGAACGGAGATGGTGAGGAACAAAGGGGCTGAGTCCCCTTGGCTTTGTGGAACAGGTCAATGTGTATCTCGGTTCTTTTTCATACTTAGGCATCTGATTTAAGAAACTGCCTTATTTTAACGTTTCCTGTTTTGAACAAACTAGGTCCAGGGTATATGACTGTATGAGACACATGGAGTACATCTTAATTAAACATAACTGTCCTGGCGTCCTAAGGGTGGAAGTGTCTGAAAGCTCTTTTGTGCTCTATGTTCAGCTGAGCCAGGTAAACAGAATCAAGGTGTGAGAAGGGGTGTGAAGGACAGTCCACCCACCAGCCTAGCAGCCCGGACAAGCCAGTGCCTCCTTCCACCTTGCTCACCCATCTCTAAGATGGCCTTGGTGCCACCTCAGGGACTGGAATGCTGTTTCTCAATCTTGCTTTTAGGTTTTGTAGTCTTGCTCTCAAATCCTTGATAACAGCAATCACATTTCTGAGGGCTTGGCTAGCACTTCAGACTTTGCTCATCCTTCATGGAAAAAAGTATATTGGTGTCTAGAAGCAAGGAAGGGTGAAGAAGTGAACCAATTCAAAATAAAAACAATTATCTATGGTGAAAGACTACTCCTGGCTTTCAAAGCACAGACGTGTTAAAGAAAGAGAGGTATGGTTCAGGAAAGGGAGAAGAAAGAGGCTTTTCCAGGTAGGTCAGGCTTTGGTATTTTTGGTTCTTCCACGGGGCTCCTGTCAAAGCCACAGGACCTGAAGGACCCTCATCATTTCTCTCCCATCTTCAGGCTTTTTCAGTCCCAGGTCTTGGAGATCTTTTTCCCTCAAAGTGTCAATATCCTCACTGTTGTGCCCCGCTTCCATAGCTGATGAATTGCCTACAAGGAGAAAGCAAATAGGAACCTGGATCTGACATCAGAGCAGCTGAGTTCAAATCCTGACTTAACCACTTATCCCCCAAATGACCTTTGTCTGTTTCCTTATCTACAAAGTGAAGAGCTGAAGAGTTCCTGCTTCTTAGGGCTGTGTAGAGGGAATGAGTAACCATACATAATTATGGTACCTGGCACTTACTAATCATTTCAAAAGCGTAATACTCAAAAGCACTCAAGCAGTAAGACTTGAATGCAATACCTTATAAAGAAGTCATCTTGGGCCGGGGATTTAGCTCAGTGGTTCTGGCGCCTGTCTTGCAAGCGCAAGGTCCTGAGTTCGATCCCAGGTATCAAAAAAAAGAAAAAAATCATCTTGTTGACTCCTTATTCTATATGCATTAGGTGGCTTCCTTGGCCCAGGTTTTATTTATTGATTTATGGTGCTGGAAACTGAACCCACTACCTTGTGCATGGTCTACCACTGACCTATACGCCAGCCCTCCTTTGCCCCATTTTAAAGGGCAGCAAACTGAGTCACTGAAGGGTCTCACTCCCTGTAGTGCCAAGAATGGGAACACAATGGAGCTGGAATTTGTCCTCAGGTGACTGTCTCGCCACGGTGCCACAGTTCCAACAAGAATGTGCACAATAATCACACAAAGCTTTTGCAAAAAATGCAAATTCCCAGGCAGGCCTCGTTTACTGAGATGCTAAATTAACAAATCTCATCTGTGGCCCACGAATCTGCATATTAAGCTGACCCAGGTGGTTTCAGACTACACTTTGAAAAACACTGTGTACTTCTTACTACATCACCATGCTATTGCCTTTGAAAGATGAAATGACATTACCCGCCCCTTGTAAATTAGTTAATACACTTGATCACTCAACAGATACGGCTTGAATACCTCTTACTGTCAGGCACTCACTGGGTGCTGGAGTTACAAAGAAGAGGAAGATATATGTAGCCTCTGCCCTGGAGGAGTTTAGGGTCTAGCAGGGGAGAAATATACATACAACAAAAATCCACACAACATGCTTGGTGATGAAGATGAAATTGGCCATGCAATCCAGTCTGGTTTGGTGTATGTGGTGGACATCTGTTATTTTTGCCTGCTGATCATCATTCTCCCGTCTGGTATCAACATCCAACATTTCCTCTGGAGAAGTCACCCCTCCCCCACTCTCAGTCCTTATGGTTAAGGTGGGAGCTATTCCATCCCGCCCACTGTGGGCATGTGACCCAGCCCTGGCCAATCAGAGCACCAGCTCTTCCTGGCCTACTCATTGGTCAGAACTGTACCACCTGACCCACCTGTGGCCAATTAGAGTCCCACCCGACTTTCCCCAGGGCAGGACCCTTTGTTGGTAGGTTCGATGTTCGTCAGGGCTCGCGGTGGCTTGGGTCATGGAGATGTAAGCAAGACCTTTCTGAACTGAATGTTGGAGGAGAGTGAGAGGAACTGAGACCCAGTCCTTGACTTCACTGGACTCCGGTGTGATCAGAACTGGACACTGAAAAGAACTTCACAGGTATTTGTTCTTATAAAGTCTCTGCTCTAACCCTAAGGTTCCTGCCTGATATGGCAGAAGGAGAGGAAGTCCAGGACGCCTCGCCTAACTCTGGGTTGAGATGGCAAAGAGCAGCAGGTGTTAGCTATGAAGGGTTGGAGGTAAAGATGCCCCTGGCAGCCGAAGTGAAAGAACAAAGTGAATAATGATGGGAGCTATGTGGTGTGGCCACATTCAATAGCAACAGATCTGACTTTGAAATGGTTCTGCTTCTGAGAAGCTTGGGACTCAGCTGGAGGCTCTCCTTCTCTAAGCCTGGGCTGCTGGCAATGCACAGTGAGCCCTACAAGAACATCTCCCACCCTGTGCTGTTAGGACAATCCAAGGCAGCAGGACAAGGCAAACAGACACATGGCAAATGATTGCGATGATTACCACTGGAAGGCAGGCACTGAAGAGGAAGGGACTGGCCAGCATTTAGTTTCTGGGATGGAGCGGTTGATCTCTGGAGCTGGAGACGTCTTAGGGCAGAAAGAAGTAAACCGCAGCTTCTGGTCACTGAGGGGAGCAGTGGGCTGTAGGAGAAACATCCCGGGCTATGGAGTCGCGCAGGCCAGCGAATCCCAGCGCTCATCCACCGCATGACTTGTGGGTGATCGCTCTTAGCACTCAGACCTAGTTGCTTAGTCTTCACAGTCCCTAATATGAAAAGGGTTGTTAGAAAGATTTAAACGAGATAAATGTGTAAAGTGCCTGGCACATTGATGTCCAATAAATTGTAGCTATTTACTCTTCCCACTGTTATGGCCACTTAGATACTCGTAGGCTGCTGGTTGGCAGAGCACGTAGCATGCAGGCTCCTTAACAGATGAGGTACTGTGAGCACTGCAAGGACAGACTGTGCCCACTTTGCTGGCTTCTCTGGACCCTGTCCTTGGCGTGCGGTAGGTAACTAAGAGTTGGTTATCAGCTTTCCCTGAACCTCCCTAGGTGGGAAAGTTACCCAGCCCATCTTCCCAGGAGCCATTGTGCACCCCATGCCAGGAATTCAGCCACAAAACAAAGTTATTGAAGGCCTGCTGTGTGCCAAGTGTTGTAGTAGCAATACAGCTGTGAGCAAGACAGGCTGTGACTTTATAGATTTTCCACCCTAATGGTGGAAGACAATGATAAACAAACCAAAAAATTCAAAACAATTTTACAGCATAATAGACACTGGGAAGGAAGTAAAAGAGGCTGACCAGACAGGACATGTCTGGGTTAAGGTTGATAAGAGGTAAGAGGTCAGGACCAGCATTGGTGCAGGCGAAGCCCTGATGCACCGAGCCTAGGAGGAGTGGCCATGCCACCTCAGCTGGCCCCTCAGTGATCCCCTGGGACCTAACAAAGACGCCTCCCCTCCCACGGCTCCAAACTGCCCATTGGTTGGTCCAACTCAGATCTCCTTGGGACTCCATAAAGGAGCTTTCCACGCTGGGCCACAGAAAACAAAGAGCCCCGCCAGGCAGGGGCAGTGTGGGGCTTGACCCACATACCGCTTCCCACCGATTGGGATGGTAATTGATCAAAGT